CCACCGCGGGGCGGCGCAGGTGAGCAGCGGGCACTCCCAAGGTTGTGAGTCCGGGGACCTTCTCCGGTTCCCGCCGGCCTGAAGGCTGGGGATGCAGCGGCGAATGAGAGGGCGCCCTCTAGAGGTTAGCACGACCGGGGGCCGCAGAGGAGGTCAGAGAGCCTGACTGCGCCGGCCCAGGGAGGCCTGGACTGCACTCTGGGCAACGACGCGGTGCAGCTGCTGCTGGGGAGAAACTAGCTTCTGGTTAATGGGACATCTGGTGAGCTGAGAGTGGGGTGTAAGTGAAACCTGTGTATTTCTGCATCCTGGCACACTTAGGGGGATTCTAGCCATCTGAGCATTCCCCCCATCCGGTCTCTACACAGCCCACACCCCCCACATTGCAGCCTCGCTTTTCCTCCTCTGCTGATTGGCGCCCAGGAGGACCCGGGCTGGTCTGTGCAGTGCGGCCCCAGGGACCGCACATGACTCAGACTCTGTCCCCTAGAGAGGTCTGGGGCTTCACAGGCTTCCAGGACAGGCAAAGACGTAGAGGAGAGAAGGCGATCAGAGCAGGATGAGGGACTCCCCGGGCAGAGGGGGGCCCCGGAGGAGGCACAGGACCCAGCCAGGACGCTCTGGGGAGTATGCAGTGAGACCCGAAGGGTGAGGACGAGATGACCTGGCAGCCGGACAGCCTGTGCCAGGGCTTGGTGAGGAGGGGCTGGCCGAGTGCTGACGGGAGGGTAGGGGCCGTCTGGGGCAACTGCAGGGACCCCTGCTTGTCGGCGGTTTGTGCCTGTCCTGATGTAAAGTCAGACTCAAATTCCGTTGGTGACAAGGTTCCCTACTCTTCGGGTGGCTCCAGTCCGTTTCCACTTCCCCATGACCACTGGGCACCACGGCAGGGTGGCCGTGCCTGTCTGGATGCGGTTCCAAACAGCCCCTAGAGGCTTGAGCCATATAGACACTGCTCCGAGATAATAACATTTGACTCTGGGCTTCATTTGGTCAGTCAGCAAACATGGGTCATGCACCTAATTTCACACTGGGCGAGAGGCAAGGAGGGCTGACCGCAGGATGGGGAGCCACAGATGGAAGTGGAAGGGGACGTTTTAGGCTCTGAACACCCAGCCCAGGCTGGGGCCATGGGTACAATCTTGACCTTGGACCCCTCTCCATGGACAGCCCCAGCAGCGTGGGCAGAGCTATGTCTGGACAAGATCTGCAGGACGACAAGGACACAGGTGCATGACGGGCTGAGGAGGAGGTGGGAGAAGGAAGGGGACGGGTGGGGGATCCCATCACACGCTTCTGAGACATAAATGACAGACTTTGGATTTGGTGAGAGTGAGAGGCCCGGAGCTCGTCACCAGGCCTCAGTTTAACCCATCTGTAAGATCAGCGGGCGTTCCTGGGTCCCTGGGGCCCGGAGATAGGCAGGGCCCCTCTTGGGATCCACATGCACCTACCACACGGGTGAGGCAGGCCCCCCAGAGGTGCCTTTGGTTTGTTTACGAGCTCCTTGACATCTTGGGCTGGGGATCACAGTGCCAGGGTTCCAGGGGCCCCATTAGTCCTCCTCCTGGGCATCGTTAGGGTGTTTGCCTTCCGCCAAGCGCTGCAGCGGTGCCTCTTCCCCTCTCACTGCAGCGTTCACCTGGGAGGTGAAGGCCAACAATGCTGCCTACCACCGTCAGTTCCAGGAGAAGGGCTTCCTGTGCTGGCGCAGGAGGAAGTACCAGGTGGGCCCTGCGGTGTCCCACCGCGTGCTCTCAGTCTTCTTTTTATGCTCCCTGAATTCTACCCATTACTTGCACTGGCTTGATGCCTCTAATCACAGGGACCGTAGGGCATCACTCCCTTCTTTAAGACAGGATCTCGCTCTGGAGGCTGGGCTGGCAATCCTCCTGCCTCAGCCTCCTGAGTGCTAGGATGACAAGTGTGCTCCACCTTGCCTGACTACAGCATCTTCGCTCTTAGCAACCCACTGACTATGTGTGCCTCTCCTCAGCCCCACCCAGCACACTTTAGCCAGTTAAGGCACAGCCCAGAATGGCCAGTGAATTTATCTCAGCCCTACCCAAACTCCCCAGGGGCTTCATTTTAGAAATCCTGGGCTCTCTGTACTCAGTAGGAGCTCTATTAATGCTGGCCTGAGGCTTTGCGTGCAGTGGACACTCAGCACATTCTGGCCTGAGACCCTGCCTTCCAGCAGGTGATCCCTACGCGCTGGCTTGAAGCCTTGCACTTATTAGATGTCTCCTTAGGGCTGGCTGCAGGCTTGGCATGCAGCAGGTACTCAGTATGGGTGTGTGACACACGTTGGCATGGCCTCTCCCAGCAGTGTCCTGCTAGGCTAGGATAGTGGTTTGTGCCTTCGTAGCCCTGACACTGACCCCCGCACCTCACCCCACTGCTCTCCTTCCAGACCAATGGCATCCACACGGCCAAGTACAACTTCTTCTCCTTCCTGCCTCGGAACCTGTACGAGCAGTTCCACCGCGTGTCCAACCTCTACTTCCTCTTCATCATCATCCTGCAGGTGGGCCGGCCTCCAGGGGTTCAGGGCCCGCCCCTCATCCCAGCTGTGTCTCCACCGCCCCCTCCCGGAAGCCGATCACCCTGGCAGCAGTGCTCTGGAGACCAGGGCTCCCGCCTCGTCCCCTCGTCGGAGTCGCCCTAGCCCTGCTGGGGCCCCATTCAGGGAGGCGGTCGGTGAGGGTCCGCTGTGACTCCTGTCCCCGCAGAGCATTCCTGAGATCTCCACGCTGCCGTGGGTCTCTCTGTTCATCCCACTGCTCTGTCTCCTCCTCATCCGTGCTACCCGGGACCTGGTGGACGACATTGTGAGCGAGATCTCCAGATGGGCTTCCGTGGGCCTGGGGAGGCGGCTCTGTCCCCTTGTCCTTCGCCTGGGTCCCCTCAGTGCCCTCTGGCTCTGTCTGCTGCTGCGTTTATGTGACCTCTGGGCCTGGGGGTCCCTGCACAGACAGCCTGGGGCTGGCCAGCGAGGACACCTTCTGTAGGCAGGGTGGGGACACTGGGTGCAGGGGACCCAAGTCCACCTCAGACGCCACTCTCTGGGCCCAGGGGCGACACAGGAGTGACAGAGCCATCAACAACCGGCCCTGCCAGATGCTCATTGGGAAGAGGTGAGGCTGGGGGCGGCCATGTGGGAACATCTGGGGACACAGAGGCCAGCGGGGATGGTGGTGGCCATGGAATGGCCAGGGCTCTCTATGTGCCTGGGTGTCCCGATTGGGCTTGACCGGGACCCAGGCTTGCATTTATTAGGTGCCTGCCATCTGCCAGGCCTGGGGTGGGCCCAGAGGGGGTTGGCAGGGTCTCCAGAAGCAAAGCGTCCTCACCCTGGGTCTGCACCACAGCCCTGAGACCCCAGCCCTCTGCTCCCCCCTGCAGTTTCAAGTGGCAGAAGTGGAAAGACCTGTGTGTCGGGGACGTGGTGTGTCTCACCAAGGACAGCATCGTCCCGGTGAGCCGAGGCTGGGCATGGCCGTCCCGGGCAGGCGGGCGCCTTCTGCCTCGCCTGCCACCACCCCTGC